CTCAAGGAATTGTTAGCTAACCCATAGCTCTAGAATATCGTCTCTCATTGAATTCGTGTCTAATTTCGCCAACTTGTTCATTTAATCTCTTAGTTGGTTACTCTAAATTAGTTTTATTAAATATTCATACTTTAGAAAAGTGCTTGAATAGATTAATTGTCTTAGTTTAATTTAGTGAATAGTTAATCACAAGTCTCTGTGGGTACGATATTTGGACTTACAATCCTATATTACTTGTCGAGCACGTATACTTGCGTGTGCGTTTGGAAGCAACAAGTTTTTGGCGCCGTTGCCAGAGACTTAGAAATTAACTATTTTACTAGATTAGATTTTCACTTTTTATCTATTTAAGTTTTTAATTTTAGTTTAGTGTAGTTAGTATTATATTTTTTTACATGACATCTTTGAACGAAAAGTGGTGGGATAGTAAGTATTCTTATTTTTGTGATCCTTGGCAATATTGTAAAGGACCTCACTTGTGGCAATATTATAAAAATATTTCCAGTACCGAGTTGTGTGCACCACCTCAATCATGTACTATTTGTGGTGGAAATTGGAATAATTATCCTAAGTGTTGTTATCCTACTCCAATCCCTTCTTATTTTGATTCTAATAATTCTTGTGAGTTTGATAGGAGTAACGAATTGGATAATACGGAGCACGATATTCAATTTTTTTTGATATGCACAGAAAATTATTAGAGGAATATGGAGGTTTCCGTGAGAAAATTACAAATGGGATGCAACACTTTATAGAAGGAAGAGCTGAACTAGGACAAGAGATCGACCAATTTGGCAGTTCTATTCGCGACTTGGAGGCTCAATGAGTGCAAAGGTTGATGCGTGTAACGTACAACAATTTAGTGATGAGTTGTGTGAAGTTGAAAAAGATCTTCTAGGCCAAATTGAGGAGCTAAAACGAGAATACCAATCATTAGACATGTTCTTATGGATGATGTTGATGTTGAGGAAGTATACATTATTGAGGATGTAAAAAATAATATAGTTTTGGAGTTGGGGCGTGTTGGTCCTTATTCTAAATATTTTTCTACATTATGTTTGGATGGAGACATGGAGATCGAGCCTTTGGAGAGATGTATAGATGAAGAACAAGACCCTTACATTCTAAAATTTGCGATGCCAAAAAGACAAAATGACATACCTCACTTAAAAGCCAAGAAGTGCAAGATGCGATATTATTTACTTGGTTCTTTTGTATTCGTACCACCGCCCTAGGAACGTAACAGAGAAAAATTGATGCAATACTATCCTCAAAGTGGAAGAAAAAGTGGTGAAAGTGATGGCGTCGTGCCACGACTATAAATAAGGCACTTGTTGGGAGGCAACCCAATTCTATTTTTTTCTTTTTCTTTTTGTTTATTATTTTTTTTTATTGTGGTTTTTTTTGTATTGTTGTTTTTGTATTTTGTAGGAGTAGGAGCATGGAGTCAAAGCTGATAGGCATGTGCAAAAGTGAGCAGGTGGTTGAAACTAAGTGTGAGGTACCCGCACAAGGGACCATACCCGGGAGAAGTGTGAGTATCCCGTGAGCTGCTAATGCTTCGCCTTTGGCCAACCAGGGAGTCTCTTTTACCCTCTTGTTATTTTCAGTGTGCATTGAGGACATTGCACAATTTTAAGCGTGGGGTGAGGAGATTATTTGGGTGATTTTCTGTGCTATCTTAGCTTAGTTGTAGTACTCGTTCTTAGTGTAGTAGTTTTTGTTAAAAATAAAAAAGAAAAAAAAACGAAAAAAGAAAAAAAAACAGAAAATTGGAACTTTTTCTGATGATGGACTATGTGGATAGCTTTCTTGAGGGATTAAGGTCCATTAAAAAAAATACTCAAAAATATTTTATTTTTGTTTCTAGTTAGTTTTAGTTAGATAATAAACCCCCTTGGTTTTTCTTCTTGCATCGGTTTTTTTTCAGGGGATGTAACTTGAATTGTGTAAACTTTTTTATTTTTAGGATTAGATCTTTTTTAGGAGAAGAAAAAGAGGGAGAAGAAAAACTTTTGTGACTTGTTTGATACTAGTATATCTAGGCTTGAGCTAGAGTAGTACTTTCCTCTGAGTGCTTGAGTAATGAATAAAATAGCAGACATTCTGACTCCTAGGCTCAGGGTTGTGACTTTGTATATAGCTTGTTGTTATTTTGTTGTTCGCGATGATCCTGTCTGTTTTAGAGTAGAATTGATCCATCTTGATTGATACTTGTGCCATGTGGGGTGAGGATTTCTGACATATATTTCATATTTTGCATCCTAGTCTAGAACTTGCCCTACATGTTATTAAAGCGAAATAATAGTGTTTCTCTGTTTAGAAGATGATAATAGGCTTTCTTTGATATGTCTTGTGAATTTTAGACTTTTCAGATATTGTACCACTAGTTAGCCTTTGAACCTGTAGCTTTTTGTTTGGAAGCCGTATTTTTGCCTTGATCCTTTTGTTTAATCCCTAGTTTTTGCATCATGCTTCCTTGAACACTGTTGCTTAGACTGTGTTATTAATTGATAAATTTGAAGAAAGGGATGATTAAGTGAAAAATGGTGACCAACCATAGCTGAAAAGTGATGAAAAGGCCCTCTTGAAAAAAAATATGACATGGAAAAAAAAAAGAATAAAAAAATTGCTTTAAAGAAAATAAAATGTTCTTGATATGAGGGAAATATTTGTGAAATAATAGATGAAGAGAGGGCTGAAGAATAAAATTAAGAGATGAAAATAATGAGTGATGAAGTCTAAAAGTGCAAAGTGCTTAGGGAAGTATAAGTCACTATTCTATAGTTCTCCTATACCCGTCCCTTAGCCAACATGACAGCCCGATAAAGTTATTTTTGATTCTATTTGAGCATATTTAATTAGTGGAGATGTACATAACGGGCAAGCCTATGGTTTTTTATGCATACATGTGAATTCGTTTGTGAGTGCGAGAGTTGTTCTTTGATGCTAAGTCCTTAAATTATATTCATTCTTTGATTTGAGTGTATGGACTATTTATTCTTGTGAGGGCTCTGATTTCATGACAGATATGTGATGTTATTAGCTTAATACGACAGAGTAGGTGAGCGGGCTTAAATTCGGTGAGTTGGAGTCCCTCTGTGAGGTTAGGAGGTTAGAAGTTTGTTGTTTGTTTATGACTTATATATCTTGCACGATGATCAAGAAGTGTATATCTAATGGTTTGAGTTTCTATAGGGCGTAATGGTTAGTATCAACCGAAGTGGTGGTGTTCCTAGGCTTTATTGAGAGTGATTTTAATGCTTACTCAAGGACAAGCAAGAGTCTAAGTGTGGGGTGTTGATGTTCAGCCAAAAATACATATATTTAATAATTGTTGCCTCACATTCTAGTATTTTTAATCGTCTTTTGAGTATTAATCATATTACTTTGTGCTTAATATTATATTTTAACCGTGTAGAAATAAAACAGTGTGAAGATGAAGAGATTTGGAACAAAATTAAATAAAATGTGGAAAAAAAAGAAAGGAAAATAAAATAATTAAAAAGTAAAGGACAAAGGAGGGACACCCTTTGGGATTTGTCTCCAAGTGCAAGACAAAAAAAAAAAGAGAGGAGGAATTACAATTCTTGAATTGAAAGTGGAAACGTCACTGCCTCCGGCGCTAAGGCCAGCGCCTTGCGCTGGTCTGGATGCTGCATGCGCGGGTTTTCCTATTTCATCCGGGATAATGTTATTTTATCCCTACACGGCCCCAACTCATATAAAAGGGGTTCTAAACTTAATTTGGAGGAGATCTAACAGATATTGAAGGAGAATTCATGTGGAGGAACACACACCACGCTTGGAGGAGGTTTCTAACTAGTTTTTCTTCTCTTCTCTTTCTTTAATTCATAGTTTATTTGTTTTAGAGTTGAGGGGTGCTACATGAACGTTGTAGTTTGAAGTTTAAATTGTCCTTATTATTTTATCATATTGGTTTATTTATTCAATCTTGCGCTTAATTATTTGATTGCTTTATCACCAATTGAATACTATCTACGAATCTAGGATTGAACTCGGGAGAGGGAATTTTAGATTGCAAATAAGATTGAATAGAGCAAGATCTTGAACTCGAGCATCGGGAGTGGATTTGCGGTTAGGATAGGGATATACCTAATCGCCTTGCTTGGTTACTATAAAGGAATTATTAATGCGTTCTTGTTAATTCTAATTTCATAGGAATATAGGCGTTAGGTTAGCTTGAATAGACGAGTAGTACTTCGGAGAAGGCTACGAGTAATATTAACCATGTCAATCAATAAACTAGATAAATTAATTGGATAATTTAAGTGGAAAACTCAACAGGATTGTTAGGTAACCCATAGCTCTAGAATATCGTCTCTCATTGAATTCGTGTCTAATTTCGCCAACTTGTTCATTTAGTCTCTTAGTTGGTTACTCTAGATTAGTTTTATTAAATATTCATACTTTAGAAAAGTGCTTGAATAGATTAATTGTCTTAGTTTAATTTAGTGAATAGTTAATCACAAGTCCATGTGGGTACGATATCTGGATTTACAATCCTATATTACTTGTCGACCACGTATACTTGCGTGTGCGTTTGGGAGCAACAATGAGAAGCAGTTTGTGTTTGAGTAATTAATTTGAAAAACACTTCTGAGTAGCAATTAGTATTTGACCAAGCTTTTAAAAACAACTTCTAAGTGTATTTTTGTCAAAAGTGCTTTTGGAGAGAAGCTATTTTTTTCTGCTTCTCCAAAATTGTTTATGCTTCTCCTTAAAAGCACTTTTTTCTTCTAAAAGTTTGGCCAAACACTTCAACTTTTTTTTTTTATTTAAAAAAAAAAGCACTTCTTTTTGGAAAAAATGATTTCCAAACAGGCTATAACACCCCCATCTAAGGAATGGCTTGTGGTTCACTTTTAAACCAACAACATGGATGTCAATCTTTTAATTTGCAACGAACAATGACATACAGGTGTCGAGATAAAGGACATTGCTCTCTTTCGAATTTATAGATTTTCACGCTTTTACAACAAAACAATGAAAGCATGGAATTCAATAAAAGGAAAAGATGATAGAAGCTAGTACTCTTTCAAAGCTCACTGGACGAACCACAAAAATTCGTCCAATTGCCTTGATTGGAGCACTAAACCTCGATACATGGATAATTGGAAACAAATTTACAAAGGATAGGAGGTTAGGTTGTAGGCAACAATTGCCATAAGTTAAGCTCTATATCACTAAAGCAAAGACTATAAACCAATTTATACATAGGTGGGATATTAAGCCATCCTTTGAATGATCATTCATTCTTGAAGAGTTTCTTCCAAACAGGATGCTTCTTCCATACATCTTCCACCATAGAATCAATAGGAACTCCTTTGGTTTCTGGCAAAAGGAATATGACGAACAATCCCATGACAACAATCCAAGCCGAGAAGAAGAAGAAAATGTAAGCCTGCATTTTGCAGAGCATGGTCAAGAATGCCTGAGCAATTAAGGAGGTAAAGAGCATGTTTGTGCTGACGGCAAAGGCGAAACCGGCTGTTCTTGTTTCCATTGGGAATGTCTCACTTGGAATCAACCATCCCAAAGGTCCCCATGACCATGCAAATGACATGACATATGTGCATACAAGAACCACCACTACTGCTGCCAATGTTCTGTCCAATGTTCCTGTCTCCTTCAAATTGACTGACAAAATACCTCCAATTGCCAACTGCAAATTTAACCAAAATACTTCATTAGAATCATCCAGAACTCCGCTTATGTTAACTTATATTATCGGTTTCAAACGCGAAAAGAATGGGATGATTATGGTAAGTTCACCAAGGGCAGCCTGGTGCACAAAGCATCCCGCGTTCACGCAGGATCCGAGGAAAGACCGCACCCGAAGGGGTGTGATGTAGGCAGCCTACCTGATGCAAACATCAGTGGCTAATTCCATGGCTCGAACCTTTGACTGATAGGTCACAGGGAGACAACTTTACCGTTGCTCCAAGGCTCACCTAAGTTGACATGCACTGTAAATTAAGCCAATTTACAATGGATCCTGCAATATGGAATAAATTGCTCGAAAGTGCTCACCTAGGCACGCACCAATTAGTTGGAATTAAGTTTTAGTTATGTTAGTACGTCTCGCCTTTTAGTCATATGTTCATACCTGAGAAATTAACATTTGGCAACAAGCTTGGAGGAGCAATTTTCTCCTTCCAAGCTTGTCAACAGCATAGATGGAAACAAAGGTAGCACCAACATTAACAAGTCCAGTTATGACAGCGGACAAAAGTGCACCGTCAGATTTGAAACCCATGGTCTGGAACAGAACAGGAGCATAGAACATAATGGCATTAATTCCAGTAAATTGCTGGAATATCTGCAAAAATATGGCAATCACAAGTGGTGGAACACTTGCAGCTTTTATGAGGTTCCTGAATGGATGTTTCACTTGCTTGGCTTGTTCACAAGCAGCCACTATTTCTTTGTACTCAACTTCAACATCTTCAACTCCCCTGATTTTCTTTAGTGCTGCTTTGCCTTGATCCTCTTTGCCACGTTCGATCAGACTTGCTGGGGTATCAGTAATGACGAAACAACCAATGAGAAGAAGAAACGCTGGAACAGCCGCAAGACCTAGTGACACCCTCCAACCATTTGGATGCATTGTTGATGTTGCATAATTAACCAGATTCGCGATGAATATTCCTATTGTTACGAACAGTTGGAAGAGAATATTCACAGCTCCTCTAAGTTGGATTGGTGCTACTTCTGTCAAAAATAAAGGTACAGTCTGCAACAACCAAAATTTAGTTTTTTGTCCTTTTACAATTTCAATAGAAGAAAGTCATTTGTGTTGGTATATACCTCATTTCCGAAGCCAACACCAACGCCAAACAAAATACGACCAACAATGAGCATCCATCTGTGTTCAGAGGCAGCACTAATGACGGCGCCGGCGATGAAAAAAGCAGAGGCCATGAAAATGGTGGGTCTACGACCTAACAATTGGCAGGCTTTTGACGCAAAAAAGCTAGAAACCAAAGCTGATAGGTACAAGGATGAGGTGAATAGCTGGAGAAGTTGATCGTCATATTTACAGTAGTTGTTCTCCTTTGCATGTAGCTTTCTTTCATATACATTTGGGAAGAATTTTATCAAGAAATCATCCATACCAGATACTCCACCTGATTTAATCACCAAACAAAGAAAAGATTATATATATATATATAAATAACTAATCAAATCTGAAATATTTTGACAAAATGATGTTATCAACAGAAAGCCGTAAAAGGTTTGAATAAGAAAAGGAAAATATACAAACCTGAAATACCAATATCATAACCGAACATAAGCCCTCCGAAGGCAGCAAAGATCCAACATGATACCACATAGACTGTGATCTTGGAGTTGTTTACCTGAGCTGTCGACATTTTTTATTTTATTTTTGTTTTTTTAATACCCTCCGATAAAACTGGTTTATTTACGTAGATTGAGTCTTTGTTCCTTTTTTGTTCTTTTTTATACGGATATGTATTTTTTTAAATAGATAGATACCAGCATAGACTACATATGGGAGAGGAGAGACAAAGAGATGAGGAGCAAAGTATAGGTCTTTGCCTCGGACTCTCCAGTTAAGTTTATTTGCTGGAATTGTGTCACTATCCTCCAAATTAATGCCTTTTTATAGTGTGAGATTTTACTTTTTCTGTTACTTTATTTCGCATAATTTGTGGACACATTTTAACCTATTTCCTAATGTTCCAATAAAATAGGATCAATCGACCATTCATTTCTTTTCAAAACTATAAGAGACTTTTTCTTTTGGTCGTGTCTTTTTGTTTTTTATTAATTGAGGTTTATTCTGATTTTGAGGAAATTTGTGAAAACCAACATAATTCACGGGAAATAATGAAAATTTCGAGTTTGACTTGATCAATATGGTCAAGGTAATTAAAGATCATTCATTAATCAGGGAACGATATGCATGCATTTATACTCAAAAGTTTAAGTATCGCATATCTATTCTAGGAAAAAGAATGACTAACCAAATCTTGTCCATTGTTTAGAAACTTTATGGGAGGATTCTTGTGAACAAATTGGATGACATTAAATAATTGGAAAAAATATCAAGAAAAAGACCAAGAGAAAGAACTGCCATTTGCCTATCATAAAGTGGTTTTCGGTATTTTTTATTTTTTATTTGTGGAAAATGTTTTTTTTTTGCCAGTTAAAGTAATAAAACATAGATTTCTTTAATATCTCTTTAAAATATTACCTAACCTTTTAATAGAGTTTAAAAATGATTTCTAAGTTTATATTTGAACTCAAAAAGTTTTCATTGGACAAATATCAAGAAAAAGACAAAGGAAAGAACTGCCATTTGTTTCCGGTATTTTTATTTTTTATTTGTGGAAAATGTCTTTTTTTTTTTTTTGCAGTTAAAAGTAATAAAACATAGATTTCTTTAACATCTCTTTAAAAATATTACCTGACCTTTTAATAGAGTTAAAAAATGATTTCTAAGTTTATATTTGAACTCAAAAAGTTTTCACTTTCCTTCTTTATTTTTAGCAATTTCCAAAACTCTCCTTATTAATTTCCCCTTCTATAGTCAGTCAATAATGGATACATAAAATAAGATAAGGGTTATCTGATTATGCTATTGGGAAAAGAGCTGTTGACCATTATTTCGTAATTACTAAATGATAAGTTACATAAAAAGTCGAAAAAACAATTACATTAATCAGATAACTAATCTTATTTTGTTTTATAGAACCTCTTAGAACTTTAATAGATTAGCATAACATCTAAACCATTAGCATATGTAAAAGATTTTCGTAGCTGTGAATCCCCTTTGAATCTTCTTTTTATAAAATTGTGCTGGTTGATATAATTAGACAAATTCTAATAAACTCTAATATGTGTACGTTCGTAATGTTTTTGGTTACTGAGCATTGGAAGCTGGGGCCTGGGTTGGACATGGATACTTACAGTTAGGATGGACAGCGTATACGGGTGAAACCGAGCCTAGTGAGCGCCCCGATTTCCCAGGGAGGCAAACGGAACATGGTCGTGAATGTGAGGAATCGGAATTAGAGCAATAGCCTCTCGTACCCGAACAAAATACCTGCCCTCAGATCCATCAGGACCACGTCCTTCGGGTCCGGGTCGTGTCCTAAGACCTCGGAGAACTTTACCAAACAACCGCACACGACTAACAAAGGGCCGTGATGTCCGTGCCCAATCGGATATCACAGTGCGAATCTCGGCCCGTATAGGAAGAAAATCAGTGATTAGCGAAAAGGAAGATTTATACCTTTCTTAGAATTGTACATAGGATAAAACTCTCCTACTATATAAAGGGGAAACTTATTATTCATTAGACACACTGTAACACGCATATCAAAGCAATATACTTCTGTTTCTGAAAGCTATTCAAAGTTCTTGTTCTTGTTCATAAGTTCTCCATAAGTGTTAGCTCGGAACCGAAGGCAGGTTCCTCGTTAAGCCATTAACCAAGCTCGAAATCATTCTTATCATTGGTTTAGTCATTTATTACGTCTTTTACTTTCTTAATCTAACGTCATTAATCACTTGTATCAAATTAATCCACATATCCTTAAAACCGCGTATAAATTTAATTGTTGTTCGTTTTTAACGGTAAACAGTTTGGCGCCCACAGTGGGGCTAAGAATAATAGTGGTAATTTGATATAAATTTCTATAACACACTCTATTTTATGCTTGTTCTTTGAGATTTAAATTTCAGGTCAAATTAAAAATGTCAAACTCTCAATCTGCTCACTTGAACGTTGATGCTGTGTCTGGCCACCATGGCGAGAACAAGAATGTAGTGCCCAAGAACAAGGTGCCCCCTGTTGACCCCAGCGAAGTTTTGGTTGCGGACCCAATCGATGCCAACTCACATGTGGTTATCGACGCAAACTTGCCTACTGACCACGAGAACAGCGTTCGCGGAGGATCCCAATCAATAGCCCTGGGTACGCACGACAGCGAAGGCGATTGGATCAATTTGCAGGTGATCTTCAAAACGTTATAAGCTCAACAGGCGTCGATAGCCAGTTACAGAGCCAAAGCCGCGCCCCCAGCAGAGTTGAGCCCGAACCATCCCGAAAAAACATCCGAAGAAATGAACAAACCACGGAAAGGCCGGGTGAAGTTGAACCCGTGACCAACCCCGGAAAAATAAAGATGCTTGAGGAATTGAAAAGCTGAGTGGAATCGGGGGAAAAGAAGATCCAAGCCAATGACAAAAAAGTGAAGACCTATAACTTCAGGGTTGATCAAATCCCAGGAGCACCCCTGATATTGCAAGGCCTGGATTTCAAGAAATTTGTCCAAAAGCCCTCCCCTCCGAGCGCGGCACCAAAGCCAATCCCGAAGAAGTTCCGTATGCCCGAAATTCCAAAGTATAACAGGACCACAGATCCAAATGAACACATGACCTCCTACACGTGTGCCATCAAGGGAAACGGCTTAGAAGATGATGAAATTGAGTTGGTTTTGCTGAAAAAGTTCGGAGAAACCATGTCGAAAGGAGCAATGATATGGTATCACAACTTACCCCCTAATTCTATTGATTTGTTTGCTATGCTTGTTGATGCCTTCATAAAAGCTCACGCCGGGGCTATCAAGGTCGAGACCAGAAAATCAGACCTCTTCAAAGTGAAACAGAGAGAAAACGAAATGCTCAAGGAATTTGTGTCGAGGTTTCAAATGGAATGAATGGACCCGCCTCTTATTGCGGACGATTGGGTCGTTCGGGCATTCACTCAAGGACTCAACCCCCAAAGCACCTTGGCCTCACAAAAGCTGAAACATAATTTGATAGAGTACCTAGTAAGTAACTTGGGTCGATGTTCATAACAGGTACCAATTGAAAATCAGAGTCGAGGATGATCAGCTCGGAGCCCCCTACTGGTCCGTGTATCCCACCAGAACTAATGACAGGTCTAAAAGAGTCGTCGATAATGAACCAAGACCGAACAGATCGGTATCAACCATATAGCGAGATTGAAAGGGTAGCGGATCCGAACGTAACCCTGCGAGGAATGAAAAAAAGGAGCGATTGAGGCCACAATAGCCGGGGACTCATGAGTAAAAGCAGTTTTGACAGGACACTCGGGGCTAGGGAGGCACCGAGATTATCGAAATACAACTTCAATGTCGATGTGTGGCATCGTATCTGCCATCAGACGCATCAAAGATACCAAGTGGCCTCGGCCATTGCAGTCCGATCCTGCCCAAAAGAGACCCCAACCTGATGTGAAAGTATCATGTCACTCACGACCACATGACCGAAGACTGCCGACAGCTAAGAGAGGAAATGGCTCGGTTATTCAATAATGGGCACCTCCGGGAATTTCTGAGTGATCGAGCAAAAAAAACTTCAGGAATAGGGACTCCAACAAATAGACCAAGAAAGAGGAACATCAGCACCTCATTAACATGATCATTGGTGGAGTCAACATTGTTGCTCCCCGTTTTCTTGCGAAAGTGGGTTTAGACGTTGTGACAACTCTTTTGGATGGGAGATAGAGTGCTAAAATGAAGAAGAGTCGCTACCTAACGGTTTTTAAGGTGTGTTAGGGCACCTATTATGCAGATAACTCTATTTGACTAGTCAACGCCACCAAAGATCGGGTAAGGGCTCGAAGTATCTCAAAAAGAAGGTGTTAGGAACTCTTTGAAGTCCACAACTGTGGGTCCCAACCGAACTTAAGACTATGTGGTTTATAATTAGTCAAGATAAACAAAGAGAGTAAGGGTCAAAGAAATTTATTATAACACAATGAGAAATAAGGATTACAAGGATATAACTATTAGGTCTATATTAGATGACTAAATGTATAAAGAAGAGGAGGGGGGGAGGGGGGGGAGAGGGGTCCTAAGTTTTTTAGCCTAAAGGATCAACCCGTGCAACAAAAACAATAATTCACAACTTCCTTGAAGTAGGGAGTTACTCATATTATTCAGCGGGCACAAACAATCATCTCCTGCTACCTGATTACTATGTTAAAGTTGTTTACCTAAATGCGCTCTACTTCAATTCTAAGTCGTATCTTATGTGTGCACTACCCGTCCCATGCATATGGTCCAGGAGGATTAGACCTCTATTCAGGGTGGTTCTAGACTTTACTTGGGTTGCTCAAAATAATAAAACTAGGCGACATACAAAACACGTATGCCTTCATGTAAAGGCAGTTAAGGGATCAAGTTAGCCTCCACACTTAGACAATAAATGCATACAAACAGGTTCTCACATTAGGCGTTATACAGTTTCAGAAATGAGGCAAATTAAAGTCATTAGGCCTATGATATGGTTTTATGTGACCTTGGATTCAAACATGCAGGCAGTTTCAGATGCAAGGCGCTAATTTAAACTTATAGACATGATTCCCAAACAACTATATAGTTTAGGAGTATTGCATGCTGATTATTGAGGTTACATGTTATAATTTTTAAACCAATAGATGTGATCTCTAAGTGATTTAAGCAGTAGGGGCAGTGAAGACCGTTGGAAATACTCAAAATTACTCATGCTTTCTAATAGTGGCATAACTAAGCAATAAAACAACGTTTGAAAAGTTCAGCATTAACACTTTAGAGCGAGTAGTAATAACCTATAGGC